CTGCACATGTTCACTTTATTTGGCACCAGTGAGGCCTCACTTGGAATACTCTGTCCAGTTTTGGGCACCACATTTCAAGAAAGATGTGGATGAGATCGAAAGAGTCCAGCAGAAAGCAAGAAAAATAATGAAGGTCTAGGCAACATGACTAAAAAGCCAAGGTTGGAAGAACTGAGTGATTTAGTTTGGAGAAGAGAAGACTGAGGAGAGACTTGATAGCAGCCTTCAAATACCTGAAGGTAATTATAAAAAGGAAGGTGATAGACTATTTTCTGTGATGGCAGGGGATGGGACAAGGAAAACCAGCCTTAAATTTCAATAAGGGAAATGTAGGCTGGATATAAAAAAAATATTTCTGGCTGTGAGGATGGTTAAGCACTGGAACAGATTCCCTAGAGAGGTTGTGGAATCTCCATCCTTAAATGTGTTTGAGTAGGACAGACAAACATTTGGATGAGATATTTTAAAAAGCAATGATTCTGCCTTGAGCAGGTGCTGGACTAAATGACCTCCTTTCATTCCTTTCAGTCCTGTTTTTCTGTGGTTTTATGGATTTAGCTAGGTTGATTTTTGGAACCAGATGGAAGAATAGGTAAAGTATTTTCTGAACTAGCTCTGTGATCCATTCTGTTGATCTTCCCCAAGTTAGCCAGTCATCTATGTGTGGGTATGACTGAACTCCCTGACAATGAAAGTAACTCCTCATAGGCACTTCATGAAAACTCGAGGTCAAATAGGATGATTTGAAACTGACAGTAATTTTTCTCGAGTATTGGTTGTACTACCCCTTAGAAATAAGCATTTTGTAAATTGAGGGTATAAAATTGGTATTAGTGATTTAATGAAGGCATAATGGAAATGAGAATTATCAGATGAAATCTTAGGTGACTTAAGTATATGTTGAAACATATGATAGCTAAATGGGTGTCTTTCCTCTCTCTTCTCAAATAAGGAAGCTGGAGAAGTAAGATCCCTTTCTCTGAATTCTGAAGAACTCTATTGTACCGAGTCCAATTAGAAAGTTCCTATCTTGCTGTATGAGGTTTTTGAGAGTGGTTGGTTTCTGAAAAGGAACTACATTGGGAGGTGATGTAGAGGTAGATGACACTGCCCTCTTGAATGACCTGCAAGACCCATAGGTTTGTTGTAATCCAAGCCCATGCCTCCTTGAAAAAAGAAAAGTGGGCATAGGATTGTGAGAGGATCTCTAATAAACTGTTCCAGTATGCATGACCATCTCAAAACAATTATTTTTCTGAACCTGTGCAGGCTAGGAAGTGGCAGTAAAGGATGAAGCTGATTTTCTCTTCTGAAACTTAGAGTTTCTGGATTTTTATAATGCATCTTGAAGTATGAAAGAGGAGTCTACTGCAAACTTTATTTAGAAGAAAACTGTAGTCCATCAGGGTTTTTTTTTTTAAAATGACATTTTTATGCTGACAACCACAAATATTTCCTAATATAAATCCATGTGACTACTAGCCATAAGACCTGTATCAGATGCATCTAATGCTGCCTGCACAGATATCTTTGAAACCACATAATTCTCAAAATATAGAGATTTTAAACATCTTCTCTAAACTACATTGAAAACATGTCTGTGAAATCTAGTATTGTTCCATTCCAGGTAATTGTGCTTTGTCACTATTACTTAATAGTTAGTGATCCTAATGTACAAAGAAGTTGAAAAATAATCTTTATTATTGGTCATTTTTTCCCTTTTCTGAGTGATTTGGGGATATGTTTAGATTTCTCATTGAGAGTAGAGACCACCAATGATGATAGACTGGGCTGAATAAAAATATTCAAGTCCTTTGATAAGGAAACAATATTTCTGATCTTGTTCTTTTCAGGTCAGAGAAATGGAAATTGGCATGGCCCACAAGTCTTCTGCAGATTCCAAAATCCCTCCATTAATGAGAAAGGACACCTTACTGGTTGGAGGAAAACTAAAAACTTTGATGTTTTCTCTGACTCTAAATGGTCCAAAAGGATTTTTCTTAGGCACTGGGGTACCAAGTGTGAGGATGTGTCTGCCTGCAGCTGAAATACCCAAATTAGTACCATAAGTCAGTGCTGCATAGGTCAACACTGTGTGATGACACTTGCTTTGGTGCTGGATAAGTTTACACTGAAGATTTACATATGGACAGAATTGTTGATTTAGTGGAAGGCAAGGAGTTCTGCATTTCTGGTGCTGACACAAAAGAATGATGTGGTATTGATTTCAATAGTGCTAACCAATCTCTCCTTGAATGCGTCTCCTGTCATTGCTCACTCATTAATTGCAAGGGGGGACTGGTGCCGGGGTGGCTGGCTAACAGTTGTGTTCCCCTTTCTTGCAGGGTGTGGGAGCAGCTGCCATGATTGCAATTTACGTGACTTCCTTGAGGGATCTGCAAATTTGTAGGAAACAGTTTTTTCCTAGACTATAAAGTCACTTATCATATCAGTCAGTCAAAAGGATTATCCCTCCAACCAGAGGAAATTACTTAAAGCCTGGCAATACAGGCTGTCATATAAGACTGAATCTTGATAACGGCTTTTCTACCTAAGCTAATTTTTAACAACCTTCATTCATTTTTTTTTGCCAATGGGCAAAAAAAATCAATTGTAAAAAATATAGTAATTGAGGGACACAGCAGTAACAGAATGTCCCGAAGTAGATGCATAACCTGATTTGTTTCAATGCTGTGCCAATGTCTGGAAACAAAAAGATCTGAATGGCAACTGGAGTTCCTTATGCCCTTGAGAGGAGAATGTTACAGTGTGCACAGCACATATGCAGCTGCTAACATAGTCTGTCAGTGAGAACTTCTCGGATTTCTGTACAGAGAGTGAATGTGCAGCATGAATAAGACCACATGTACAGAAGAAGAATTTAGTCGTTCTTCTCCAAAAAAGTGCAACCCCCTGCCACTTGAGCCAATGGAGAATCTCAATTTGTTTTTATTAGCATAGCCCATTCACAGCACTATAGGTACCCAGCAGCATGTAAGGTGGATCTGAAATACTTTATAGATTTATGTGAAAGGTTCAGCTTAAAAGTAAGACATACTGATGTCTGTGTGAATCCTGAAAATGATTCCCTTCTTCTCATCACCAGGCTTCCTTCACTTTAATTTTACAGTCTTTAGTAGACAAGAGCGATAGCTCTCATCGTTCCTTGTCTATAATTGTTTAATGATGTTCTTCTGGCCCACAACCCTATGTGACATCTATGGATGGAAAGCACAAGCATTGTTGCCATTATACCTGTCTCTTGTCTTGCTCCATCCCCTGTAATCTATTGGAGCAGTTTGGAGGTTAGTTGTATTTGAGGATCTTCGGACTCAGTTCAGGGAGACTATGCATAAAATTAAAAAGCTAAGCAGTCCTAATCACTTCAGTAGGACTACTCAAGTACTTAAGTCTTGGTCTAAACTAAACCAGTTATGGATGTGAACTTTTACTGATACTTATACAATTGTACTTGGAAAAAAGCCCCAGCATGGTTGCAGTTATACTGCTATAAAAGATGCTGTAAACTAGCTTATTCTTCTTACTGGGTGCATCTACACATGCATTTGATTCAGGATCAGTTTACTTGTGAGTAAACTATGGCTGCAAACTGCTTCCTCTTTCTGGGGCCCTGTAATGGGCCCCTGCCACCACCACGGGGAGCTCTAGGCTCCCCCTGGGTACTAGCTCAGAAGCTGGCAGGGAACACCTGGCCTGGACATTACACATTGCCCCTGAGGGCTGCCTGCTACTGGAGTGGGAACAATGTCCCCCTGCCCTGGCAGCAGGGAGCTCCTGGACCTGTCTCCCCCATCAGAGGCAGGGGACTTGGAAAGAGCTGCAGGGAAGCTCACTGCTAGCTGCCCCACCAGCAGATAGGGGCAGGGGGCCAGAACCTACCCCAGCCCTTCAGCTCTTTTCAAGCCCCACACCTTGATCACCCAATGGGGGCAAGGAGCTGGGATCTGCCCCTGCTTGGGACAGTTCCCAGTCCCTGCCCCACACATGTGGCGGAGGCTGGGGAGCTTGCTCCATGCCCAGCTAGGTGCTTGAGGAGCCAAGTAGGGAACCAGCTCCCCAGCCTGTTCCCCATCCAGCTCCACGCTCATGGAGCTGGGTGGGAAACACGCTCCCTAGCCCCCACCAGCAGGGAGCTTCTAGTACCAGCGCCACACCATGGGGCCTGTGCTGGGAGACCCTTCTCTCCCAGTCTGAGCTCCATGGTCATGGAACTTGGGCTGAGAGACCCTTATCCCCCAGAGCCAGCTTCATGGTCATGGGGCTGGTGCTGGTGCTGGGAGACCAGTACCTCCCAGCACCAACCCCACTACTGTGAAGCTGGCACTGGGAGATAAGGATCTCCCAGCCCAACCACTCCCTGATCCTTATCTCCTAGCCCCGACTCCCTGATTGTGATCTCAGAGCAGAGGGCTTGAAGCTCCCTGCTGCCGGGCAGAGGGACATAGTTCCTACCCGGACTCTGATGGCGGAGCCTGCCTTGGCATCTCCCGGAGGTAAGGAGAAATCTCCCACTCCCTGGTGGAGGACTAACTGGGAGCAAATTTGCTATCAGTCAGTCGTCTACATGAGTGTTACTGCATCATTACTAATCAAAAGTAAATGTGCTACTTGCACTTGAAGATTTACTGCATAGTAAACATGTGTAAGTGTAGATGCACATGCTTACTTCGCGGTAAACTATGCTACTGAGCAGTTGTGTGTCTTGTGTAGACATGCCTGCTGTGCAGTAATACCATTAGTAGTATAAACTGCCTTTTTAGTTGTGATATGGTTAACGTGATATGACTGTGTGTCTACTCAAGTTCTAAGTATCTTGCCGAATAGGAGTCCTGTAAACTTCAGTCTCCTGGTGTGTAAAGTCACCACAAACCTCTTGATGAACTTACTTCTTTGCTAAGCAAAGTTTGGGATACATAACTCCTTACACAAGGATAAACTTTAAGTTTAAAGCAAAATAGAGCAAAAGAGTACTTTCCTACCTTGCTGTGATGATGCTGGCATGTAACAGGTGCTAAGTAAAGAATATAAATTATCACTGTTTAGGAAGAAGCTCCACTGTTGGGAATTTGACACAAGGGATTCACACAAAAGACTGAAAGGCTGCAGATGAGCGCTCATATATTGACATTCCTTCCACATAGATTCAGTCATCCACAAAAGATGAGGACTTTTATTAAACATATTTGAACCTAAGCAACAAAGATTATTTAGATCTCATCAGAACACATTCATACTTTGCTTCTTAAATGTGACAATAGCCTGCTAAGTTTAGTTTGATCATTAGCTAATGACAACTGAGAAAACACAACATTTTAGAAAGATTAATGTTTACACTTTTTAGATGTTAAAAAGAAAAAATATTTACCTTATAGTAACTGTGGCCCCTCAGGATAAGCTCTCCACAAGTATTCCAGTTCTCATATGCATGCACTCCATGCACATGAGACTCAAGTCATTTTTAACAGTATCTACCACCTATCTGTGTTTTTCATACACTCTGTATCCCTCGCTATTTTAAAGGAGGTATTGTAAGAGATTATCTAGGTCCTTTGCTTCCACTGAATTCAAATGGATGGGGTTCTATAGTGGGGAAAGAAATAAAAATTCATGTGAAGAATCATAATGGCTCTAGGGTAAGTAACCTTTCTTTCTTTGAGTGAATTTCTACAAGTATTCCACTCCAGTGCTTTACAGAAACTTATGCCACGGACTAGGTGTCTGGAATCCACTGGAATAATGACTAGAGGATAGTGTGCCCAATGCAGCATCAGACCTTGAGGTTTTTGCCAAGGATTCTTGCTGAATGAAAGTGAGAACCAAGCTTTAAGTAACAGCTTCACCAATCAACAAAATGGGAACACTTCTCAGAGATGTTTGGTTTCTGGCTATATCAACCCTAAGCTGTTAGGCAGATCAAAGTGGGGTGCTTTATAGCAAGTCTTAGTACAACCCAAGACTCATTTCAACAGCTTTTGAGCAGAAATAATCTGCTTCTTCATTCTATGGGCAAATAATAAAATGAAATCCAGAGAGTGGAGTTTAGCTGCTCTCGCTATAGAATGATGTTTTGGAAAGATGACAAATCAGGGAGTTACTTGATTAAAGTGAAAATCAAAAGACACTTTAGTAAGACCCTAATGTAAGGTCTGAGAATAACTGTATCTTTGTGGAATACTGTATGAGGAGACTGCACCATAAAAGCCTGACCATCTTCTAATTTTTTGGCCAATGTGATAATCATAATAGAATACTAACGGCTTGGAACAAGGGCCCATTAAACCTGTTAAGATAAATGCTGATGTTTTGAGATGTTGGAATCTCTCTGACCACCAGAAAGGTATTAATAAAATCCTTGTAGATTTAAGGCAGAAGACAGTGTTGGGGCTGTGCACTGCCCCCCACCTGTACCGCGGGGTTGGGGGTACTGGGTGTGAGTTGGTGTGGGAGCTAGTGGGAGCATGGGGCCCACACCAGTGTCCTGGGGCCAGTGCCAGCGGGGCCCAGAGCAGGGTGGCAGGAGCACGGGGTCCCAGCTGGCAGGGGCTCTATGGAGCTGGGCCAGCTCCCTGGTGGTGCAGCGCAGCCTGGCTCCACAAACCCCTGCTAGCCTGCACCCCGCTTTGGGCCCCACCAACGTGGGCCTGGGACATTGGTTCCAAGACATTGGGACATTGGTCCCAAGATGGTGACTAGGGGGTGGGGCACCTGTCAAGGGGCAGGGCTATCCATGTGATCCTTGACAGACTGCCAAAACTGGGTAAGCAGCCCTCTGCCCGAAATAATTGCCCACCCCTGCTGTAGGTTGTCTCCAAATAGGCACACTCATAGGGATACGAAGAATCAGGAATCCCTGAGCCTGAGGGAGATAAGTAATATTCTTCCTCCAAGAATGAGTAAATCTTTCATGTTATCTAGGAGGGCCAAAAAGGTTGTGGGTTTGTGGCAGCGACATGGCATCCAGTTTCTTGGGGCTGAAGAACAGTAGCAGAAAATCAGATGGATTTCATGATGCCGAGGCTGGAAACAGACATTTTCAGTGAAACCTGATCAGCTGTGCTGCAAGATAATGTGACACAGCTGATAACAATCCAGGGTCATCTATAGGTGCCCCAAGTTGCTGGGCTCTGACTTGGGGAGTGTCTGTAAGCAGGGGGAAAACCCCCCTCTATTGTATCCTAAAAGGAAAGAGTTAGGTGTTATAGAATCATGATAATAAAATATTTTCTTGGCTTAAAATATTCATTTAAAAAAAAAAGCATATTCAATGTTATCACACAATCTAATATACAGTAAAATTATTTTAGTGTTGGACAACTCAAAACTGAATGTGGATATAAGCAGACTAGCCAACTGCCTGTCAAGAATGAGGGAAGGGGGGTGTGGGTGGGGACAGAGGCCTGTGTCTGATTCCTCCTTCCCCCACACCTTTGAGGCTAGGCCTGCCCCCCTCCCCCTGCTGCCGTTGTGGGGCTGGGCTGGGCCCAGCAGCCCCCCTGTCCACTTCCATTCTGGGGCTGGACCTGCCCCCCCACCATTGCAGAGCCAGGCCTGGTGCCCCCCCTCCCTGCCTGCTGCCATTCTGGGGCCAGGCCGGGCTGCGCCCAGCTCGCCTCCCCCACCCTCTCCACCACCATTGCAGGGCTGGGCTGGGCTTGACCCCGTTCGCCTCCCCCCACCCTGCCCATCGCTGTTTTGGGTCCAGGCCCAACCCCCACCCACCCTGCTCCTTCCCCTCTGTCCCCGCTGTCATGGTGGCATCAGGGCCTGCTCTTCCCCTCCACCACAGCAGGCCTGGGCCCATTCCCCCCCTCCCTTGTGCCACTGCTGTGGGTACAACATTGTTCTTTACTCCCCTTGTGCCACGGTCACTGGCTGTAGCCTTGGCCCCCCCAGCTATCCCTGCTGTCATGGCAGCAGTCCACCACAGCACTGCCACCACCTGCAGGCCGAATGCTCTGAGAGCACTCTGATTGGCTGGCGAGTCAGCCAATCAGAGTGCGAATAAAGCATTATAGACAGACAGACAAATAGATTACACCTTTTATAATATTAGAATTAGTCAAAGTTTGCTCTCCAAACCATGGGAAACACTCAAATAATGTTTTAAATATATGTTTGTCACTTCAGCTCTTTCTTTAAGACAGGGGTGTCAATCTCATCCCATCCCTTGATCCAGAATATGGAGCTCCTCATAGGACAGATCTGAGAGGCAAGTGGTGGTGGAGGCAGCAATGGTGGAGAAGGAGCTGGCACTTCAGGGGATGGGGGAAGTGGCTGGAGGCTGAGCAAGGCTGTATTGACACAACCCTTGCTTGTCCCCCTGCTGCTGAGGGCCATGTCTAACAGAGCCATGGAGCTCCAAAGTCTGCATCAGCCACCCCACCCCCATTTTCTTGCTAGCTATTTTGGATCTGTTTTACATTAAACTTACGAGGTCCCCTTGACTTTAGTGAAGTTGTGTATATGTTTAACATACACATCCATATACGTATAGCATATAAATGTTGCTGAGGGGAATAGTTGAGGCATAACTTATGCTGTTTACTTTCTGAGGCACATTTGCATCACTTACCTTTATCTTCAGACTCTGATTGTGTGGCAAATATCATAGATAATGTGTGAGAATAGAGGAAGGTTTTCCATTCATTTTCAGGTAGGAATCCAAGTTCATCATGGACTTGATTTTCACCATAGTTACTTTGCATGATTGTAGCACAGAGCAGAAAAGAGAAGCAAAGTTGGTCTTCAGTGAAGAGGGCAGAAGAAACTATCTGTGGAGGGGAAAATGTTCCAATACAGATACAGAAATAAGCTTAGAAAGTACAAAAAACATTAAAACATTTCTTATAGCATTGTAAAAGGTTTATGTGTAACTAGATTTACTGTGACCTCTCACCTTATAAACATTACTTGTCAACAGGTCAATTATATCTTTAAGATGTCTGTTAAAGTTGTCTTTCTCATCCTCACATTTTTCACAGTCCTTCTGAATGAACTCCCTTCCGCTTAGCCTACTAGGGGCTTGTACTGTTCCAGATACAGAAGAAGTTGAATCTGACATTGAAATTTGCCTCTGAAGTTTATTTACAGACTCCATAGATTCTACAAAGATTTTATGGAACCATTCCAGTGAAAACTGATACATATAGTTGATTTTAACAAGATCTGCTACCACAAAGTAGAGTACAGCACCTCGAGCTGCAACAGGGAGATAGCTTTTGCGTGCTTTTTCAGTGGTGGCCTCTGTTTTTGCTGATGCTTCAATGCGTTCAGAGATCTCTTTTGAAGTAACTTTTGTTCTTTCTAAGTTGTCAAGGAGGTCTTGGTCATCTAGTATGTGCCCTAAAATCAACATTTTATTTATAATGAAAATTGATGATACAAAGGAAGATGCATGTCATTTAAAAATAATCGAGCTAGTTTCATGGAACTAACTTCATAAGGCTTATCTGTGGTCAGATCTTCAGTAAAAATTTAGCTTCAAGATGTATGCTAATATCAAAACTACTTCATATTTGTTATCATATTTTCTTGGCTGCAACTCGCACCTTTCCCCCAAGAATCAGCTTCCCAAAACTGGGGTACATGTATTAAGCAGGGAATCAGTCTTTTTTGATTCCTGCTCCATAGTGAAGCAGCTATAGCATTACTATTCAGGCAACTGTGGGAGTCAGTTGACTTAGTGGTTCATCGTTCTTCACTCCAGAGGGTTTAACAACTGTCTCTCCTTTTAAATGGTCTTGTTGTTCCACTAATCAAGCTAATAATTATTAGGATAATTTTGCTGTTTGCTAGCTTTTCCTTATCTCTACCCTTTTATTTCATAGTCCTGGAGACTCTTCAGCTCTTTTCAAAATCATAGCTCCAACCCTGGAAACCAGTCTTCAGCAGCAGCAAGGGTTTCAGCTTTAGTTAAGCAGAAAAGGGAAGGTAAATCAGATGAAGATTAGGCTCTGTGCCTGTTCTGTGCAGTCATAGCTCTGGAAATTTTTTTTTTCATTCTGCCTTTCAAAAACAAGGTGTATATAATATCCTGGCATGCAAGTATGTGAGAAAATATGGTACTTGTATTTTAGAAGATTAAAATATACTTGTATTTTTATATGGAGTTTACATTTCTACCTTGAATTTGAATCTGTTTGTATTACGCAAATACTTATAATTCAGATTTTTCTCCATGCTGTAGATCAATTCTAATCCAGGGTTGTCAAAGATGCAGCTTGCAGGGCTGCTCTATGGGCCCAGTTGAGTCTGCAGACCAGCCCTGCACTCCTCATTCAGGCCGTGGGGCAGCATGAGTTCAGTACCCCTGTTCTAATCAATCTGAATTATTATACAAAACATGCAGTAAAAATCATCTATATCACTATACTAAAAGAAAGCTCATATGATTATATATAATATTTTTTCTAAATTTTCTTTAAGCAGACGTACATGCTTTCTTTAAACTTTTTGTTTACCTTCTGCTTTCTGTAGCAGTGTCAGAGACTTTTGTTCCAAGTCTCGCAGCATGACTAGGTCAGCAGAGATACTCTCAAATAACTGATAATGTTGTTGCTCTAACTGGGGTGTCTCATGAATTACTACAGTAGACAAGAGATGGTCTTGCAAGCTTTGGAATGTTACAGTGAAGTTGATCATTGTGACCAGGTTACAAACTGCTGGGAGGAAATGGGGGTTGGCTTTTTGTGTTGTCATGTATAATCTGAAAAACATGTTAAGTGTTAAAGGAATATGCAGTAATGCAGCAAATCAAAATCTTTCTCAAAATATACATTTTATTGTTTTGAAATTCAGGTAGGAGATTACACTCATTAGGCAAGGTAAGGAGAATGACTATACTTTGCATGGAATTCTATTTCTTCCTGGTCATTACTAGGGCTAAAACATGGGAAGCCCCTCTTCCATTTTGTTGCCTGTGCATGCACTTAGTCATGTGCATAGTCGTTGTCTGTGTGTCCAGGCAGTCTCATCCAGGAACAGAATGGCTATTCATGTGCAAGTCCAAAAACACCATATAGGTGTAAAAAAAATGGCTACTTAGATGACCAAGAAGAGAATTCCATCCTTTGCCTGTTCTATGAATGAATTAACTTATGACTTCACTCCATCTCATGTAATGTATGTCTGTGTAGGGAGACCAGATATTCCATTTTCACTGGGACATTCCTGTTTTTAACACCTGTCCTAGGCATCATTTGAACAGGCTTGTTCAAATGAATGCTTTCATCCAGTTTTCAAAATCTCTGGAAACTTCCCAGGGCATGCTCTGACATGTATTTGAAGTAATTCAAGTTCCTCTAAAATCAGAATTGCTTCAAAACCAAGAACAATTCCAGTGTACAGGTACTCCCTCACTCACTTCCACTTCAACATACTGCAGCAGCACTCTCTAGCGCTCCTACCTCCCTCCTGCTCTCCTTTTCTCGTTTGCTCCACAAGACTTTTCAGGCTGTCCTGTTTTGAGACTCAGGAAATATGGTGACCCTATGTCTAGGACACCCATTGACAGGATTGAGACATTTTTTTTCTGGTAGCACTGGCTATCCTTTTTCATTACTACCATGTTAATGCCCCTCACTCCTGGAATTTTTGCTGGAGGCTTCAGGAGTAAGTCCTGTCTTTTAGCGCTGGTCACTGGAACAGGTCTTCCAATATGCAGAAACCCTCCAGCAAATGACTGTTAGCATTAAAACAATGACTTGGTAGCATATATCAATCAATTTGTAAGTTTAACTCTCCATTTTAAAGGACAAAAATCAAATTTGTATTTTAGTCATTTACCAGACTACTAGGTTGGGTTGAATGAGGAGAGACATTGCTAACAGAAAGAAAATGATCAGATAAGAAATTTCTTGACCTGTTGCAAAGCTTCTCTGCTGTTATAAATAAATTTATCAGATATGAAATGCCTCATTCTGTTGAACAGTTTCTCTCCTCATTTATCTCTAATGGGAAATAGTGAGAAGTCAATAACAGAAGCAAAGAGGCTGCCATGAGATCCTTTTAAGGGTGTTGCAGGGTGTCAGACAATATTAGCACTGTTGGGTGTGTAAGCACTAAGTACCTACACATGATTAATTATATTTACCAACAGTTATATACCAAACAGGTTCCACAGTGTCAAAAACATTCTGATCTGTTGTAGTCTTTCTGAGTTTTTTGCAACAGATGTTATTCTTCCATAGTCAAAAATAAGTGAAAACTAAGGGTTAGTATTTTCTGAGGAGTGCTTTGAGCCTAAAAAGTTTGAGAACCATTGATCTAAACTTTCCTTGGGAAGTCTAGCAAATACTGCAGTAAGGAAATCCCTTGGCTGAGTTGTGCATCTTAACCCTTGCTAGAAGAGGGTCCAAATAAAGGATAACAAATATCTCTTGCTATCTACTCATGACTTAAATGGGTGTCAAAGTTGTGCCTTATGACAGTATTTCTGGAGTTTTCTCAGTTTGTTTTTTCAGATTATCTACATAAAATATTTATTATATATTTTTAAGTTGTTACATACTTAAAGTTCTGGAAATGCCAGAATTGTAATTGTCCATGTAACCTTACTTTGCCCCTATGTTAATATGCCTCATAATATAGTCTTTCATTAAACGATCAGGTCCTATTCAGATTTCTGCCTTATTCAGTTCACAGGATGGTCTGTACTCTGGGAATCAATAAGGGGTATTTAACGAAGGAAGCTGCTCTCTGCTGCATCTGTTGCAGAAATTTGAATGTTTGTAATAGGGAAGGCACAATACCATGCAATAACTAATATATAATTGTATAATTAAAAAAATAAATCATCATGTATATGCACAATAAGATAATTAAGGTTGCCCAGGCAACACTAATAGTAGCATTCCTAAACTTTTTACATTGCAACTTTAGCATTCTTCTAATACAGCTTTTCTGTATGCAAGCACAGGTAGAACTGATAATAAGTTATTATTTCCTACCTTCTGGTGCCTGTTATTCTCCAAATGTAGGCCTCTTATAATATGTAATATATAGTTCAATCTAATAAGTTAGTAGCTAGACAAATGCTGCTATTGAGGACAGTTACCTGAAGTTGTGGTTGTATTCAATTTCAGAACCTGCAATTCTGATGTAATCTTTACCTACTTTGGTGTAGACTTCCTTTTTTAAGACTGGCTCCAAACTTGAATCCAATGTTTCAGCAAGATCCTAAAATCAATTAATATGTTGTCCATGTTGCAATAGTTATGGTACTTAATATGCCTAAAGAATCTCTAGTTTAAAATAGACTTCTAGAGTTTTATTGTTGAATTTAATTGATGGAAATTCACTTTTAAAAAGAAGTAATGCAGTCACTGTTTTATTCTAGTGGAAAAAAATATCCAGAATTAATGGGTACCATACAAGTGCTCCAACCTGTTCCAATTAGAACAGAGGCAGGCAATTATTTTGGGCAGAGGGCCGCTTACTAAGTTTCAGCCAGCCATTGAGGGCCGCATGACAGGCAGCCCAGGGCAGATTAATATTCATTTTCTAAATTTTTTAGGGGCCCCGTGGGCTGGATAGAAGCTGCATCTGGCCCCCAGGCCGCATCTTGCCCACCCCTGGATTAGAACATGTCAGAGCTGACTCAATTAAATGCGTCTGTTAGACCGTTCTAATTAGAATGCTTCAGCATGCTGCAGCATCACATGTATTCTGTGTCCTGCATTTCAAAATGGCAGTGGGAGTGCTTTAACTAAAACTACTTGAACGAGCTTTAAAATACTCCTGTGGCCATTTTGAAACATGGGACGCTGAATACATGTGATGCTGTGGTGTTTTAATTACAGCAGCTGTCTGGGAGCTACTCTAATTAAAACACACACTGCCCACCTCCGAGTATGTGTATAGAGACCCAATAACTCTAGGAATAACAGTATTTACAATGGTGTGACAATAACAGGAAGCCCTTTTATTCGAAGATCTTTTGTAAAAATGTTTATAACTTTTTTTTTTTAAACAAAAATATTTTTGTGGGCTGGAATCTTTTATTCTCATTCTTACCACAAAGGAGCATACTGGAAAGATCAGTAACGTTGTGAGTTAACCAAATGAGACCTTTTGTCAATTAACAAATAATTTGTGGTAAGATAAGTTGAGCCAAGTTTATTTTTATAACTTCAAGACAGCTATGGCTCTAGTCTCAAAGAAAGCAAGGGCATTTAAAATGTTTGAAAAAACCTGACATTGGAAATAATTAGGGACTTAATCAGATGCCCAAGATTTGTGTGGCAGGGATCTTCTCCAAGTAGCTGTTCCCACCAAATTCAGGTAGGGCTGGTGGGATAAGCTAGGTATCAGCAGCAACAAGAGCTCCTGGGGATAAGGATCCAAGCAATGAAAGGGGACAAACATAATTTGGCCAAGGAAAGGCCCATTGTCACCCTACTGTTCTTTCAAAAATTCTCCTGGAACTTCCCATATGCCCTGTCCCTACCTACCTGGGAACTAACAAAGGAACATAGGCAATGGCTATCTGCAGAAACCCTATTAGAAAGACTCCTTTGGTGTCCAATGCTGGGGAGTTGGAGTAGGGTGAAGTGGGGTGTTTGGGACCCAGAGCCACTGGATAATTTCAGGTCTTCTGAGAAGAAGTTTTCTTCTGATTCACTAGAAATTCATATGGCTGACTGATGGTTTCATGTATGCAAATTTTATCCATTACCTATCAGTGCCTCTGGTCTAATTTATGACACAAGTTTTATCTCAAAGTAACTGCACTGACATGGGTGATGTTGCTTCAGATTTATACTATCATGTGGGAGAAGAGAATCAAAGTTCTAAGGTTTTAGACTGGTATTATTTATTAAATTTAAATCAAGAATATTAAAGCAAATAAAGCTACAAACTGTCTGATCTTCCATCACTTTCCTATTCTTATATTTTGGGTGATTATTTAAACTCCCTTTATTCTTATAAGAACTTCATATTTCTAATTTTTCCTTTTGTTCTTCACATAGAACTCATCAGACATTAAAGCCAAGCTACCTTAAGTAAAACAGATTCTCCAACTCGCACTGCATTTTCAAGAATTCTTAAGTAACTGGAATCCGAAGCATGAATTTGTCGCAACTTGCCCCCTGCCATTTGACATATCCATTTACAAGCCTGTTTTTGTGGATCGATTAGTAAAGGCCATCGCCACCCATTCTTGACAAGAATAGCATTTTCAGTGGAGTACTGGTCCTGCGGTAAACCTTCATTTTGCCATTTTCTGACCTAGAAGAGTTTTGAGTTTCCATGTTTATTTTTGACAATCCTTATTATTCTATGAATAAATTAGTCACAAATAACTAGGCATAAAGATTTAAATCAAGGAAACATAATAATCGTAAACAACTTCATTAAAGTACTTGGCCCTTTGAATTTTACCCTCACTTGGAATCAGGTTGAGTTCTCAAAAGGGAAAGCTATCAATCACCTGAAAAATCTTGTAATGTGTTTAGTGTAAGAAATCAAGAACAAAACAAACTACTTCTCTTACTCTCTTATTCACTGCCCATATTAGTACCTCATTCTTTTCTGTCATAGCTGCTATTAGAGAATAATTTGGTGACATGGGAATCATGTTCTCATTACACAATCTCAGACATTCATTCACTAGCTGCTGACGATATTCTGAAGTTAACACTCCACTGTAGACTAGGGATGCTGCTGAAATAAGGGCATCACCCATGATACCATGTAGCTTTTGGTCTAAATTATTAACTGCTTTCTTCCATCGCTCCTAACACACACAAATAAAAAAAGATTATTACAAAAAAAACCCAACAAAACCCACACACAACTAAATTATTTTAAATTTATGTTAATATGTACCATTTAATTACTATCAAAGTTTACATATTTCAACTAAGCAAAATAGGAACTGTAATAGGGTCTGTATCTAGTTATCAGCCCACATCACAAAAATATAAAAAAGTAAAAAAAACTCATGAGACTAAAATCTTGTATGTTCTGAGACCAAAAAGTAAGCCAATAATACCATCTCATTCTCCAAAGCAGTGCTTAATACAGATGCCCTATTCAGACGCTGAGTTGCTAGTTCTTTTCGAGTTGCTAGCATTGCTTTCTGAGCTGCACTCTCTTCATATCTTGCCTCTAAATTCCGCTGATGTTCTTCAATCTAAAAAACAATTAGCAGAATACGGATCAAAAATGTTTTTGTATAGTTTGGCTAATGATTTTTGCTTGCCTGATTTCATCAGACAAATTTATCTGAATCATGAGAACATCTAGCAAGATCTTGTAGAAGATTAAATAGTTGGTCTTATTACAGATGGCTGGTCAGTTGGTCAGGAATTTTTCAAAGAAAGTTTCTTTCACTAGAAAAGTGCCAATTTCTCAAGACTGATTTTACAGGAAGGGTCAATTTCAACACATTTCTTAATCTATAACCTGGAAAAAAGTTTTGAAATTATTAAAGCATCATATTTTGATATTTAGAAACAAAAAATAATTTTTATTAGGTCAAAATGACTTTTCATTATGAACTTAAAGCTGATTATAGTAAAAAGAAATAAAAAGAACAAAATCAAAATTAAATATTTAAGAAATATGGAAATGAAATGTTCTGACTGACGTAAACTGAATTTTTTTGGGATTATTGATAAATAAATATTTGATATTTTTGTTTTTCATCCTACTTTGTAAAGGGGAAGCTTTTAGAATATTAAAAAATTTCTCAGAACAGGTAAAAGCTTTCCTGCTGAGTTCCTGCACTTAGATTTTAACAATAGTTTTTTTCCATGCTGTGTTGCTCTAAAACAGGTGTGGCCAGCCCTCAACATGCATGCCACAAGTGGGACATGTGACACATCAGGGAGGGGGCAGGCAGCACAGTGAAAGATAGGGCAGGGGGCAGAGCAGCAGATTAGACAGGGTTAGGGGTTTGAAGTGGCACTGTCAGGTGCAGGACTTTCAGTTCTGGTTGCCTGTATGGCACAGCTGGGACCAAGAGCCCTGTCAGGCATGGGACTCAGTTCTGGCTGTGTCCCACAGGCTGCTGGGACCAAGTGCCCCATCAGTTGTTGGCCTCTCAGTTTCCACTGCTGCAAATTGTCAGCTGTGGGGGGTGAATGGAGTGTCCCATGGCTGGAGATCACAATGTCTGAGGGATTGCAGCAGCTGCAGTCTCCCAGTGGCAGACTGCCTACACATGCAAATTAAAGGTGGATAAAACCAGCTATAAAGTTATTATGCATTTTCAAGCAATAACTTTATAGCTTATGAAACAGGGAACCCTTACACTGTTATGGAAAAGCAGAATGGCCTCTTTAAGGGAAGGGGTTTTGTGAATTGTACAAAGGCATTTGGCTAGGCTGGGGTTAATAAGCAGCCTTGCCAGTAGGTCAGCTGATAGGGGACATGACCAGAAGGTGGCAGGGCTCTGCGCATATAAGCAAGAGGCAGGCAATTATTTTGGCTGGAGGGCCACTTAACAAGTTTTGGTGAGCTGTTGAGGGCATCAAGGGTAGCCCTGCCCCTTGACTGGTGCCCTGCTCCCTGATCGCCATCTTGGAACCAGCTGTCCTGTCCCCTAACCCTTGAACTTTGCCACTGGAAGTCCCTCCCCTTGCCCCCAGAAGTATTCCTTTTGGCTAGAGGGGTTGCCATCTTGGAACCAGAAAAAAAACAAATTATATTTAAAAAAAAAAAAAAAATCAACCAACATACATTAATTTGATTACAAAAAATATTTTTGTCTTGATATATATGCGTTTTGTTTAGTGTACATTAGGGTCGTGCTAAACGGGCCATATTTAATTTGGCTTTGGCCAAAATCGGGGACAGTGATTTGATGAATTGATTCAGATCACTGCCCCCGATTCAATTTGACCAAATCCAAATTTGAAGATTCAATACTGATTCGGAGAATCAGCCATTCAGCCATAAACAGCTTTAAATATTTTTTCTACATACCTCAAGGTGCCAGGCACAGCTCATGAATGCTGCAATGCTGGAGTGGATGGAATGTCCCACAGGAGTGTGGGGGGGCCCCTGCATGCTTGGTGGTGAAACCAGAAGTGGACCGGAAGTACTTCTGGTCCACTTCCAGGTCCCCCAGGGAGCATGCAGGGGGCCCCCCTGTGCCTGCCTGGCTTGGTGATTGGCTGCAGGGGGACCCCAGGTGCCCCCCCAGGCCCAGGAGGCACCAGTTGCCGAACTGGGGGAGGCAGCATGCTTGCCGGTGGATCCAGAAGTGGACTGAAAGTGCTTCTGGTCCACTTCCGGGTCTGCTGCCAAGTGCACAGGGGAGCCTCCATCTGCCCCAGCATCACAGCATCGATGAGCTGCCTGGTACCTTGAGGTGTGTAGAAAAATCATTTAAAGCTGTGTTAATGTCTGAATTGCTGAATCTTTCCAAATCTCTCCAAATCATTTCGGAGAGTTCCAATTTAATTCAGAGAGATTAAAGGGTCTCCTGATTTAAATTCAGATTTGGAGGTTTGGCCACAGAATTGAGCTGAATCTCCACTGAATTGAATCAGAGACCAAAGTTTTGCACAGCCCTAGTGTACATAGAGATGACTGCATAATAGCTTAAAATGAAATTTTTTTTATGTTGTAGGGAGGGGGGTGTATGGAGGGGTATAGGTGGGTGGGCACAGGGTTTGTGGGGGCCTGTGGGGGTGTGTGTGGAGTTTGTGTGGGGGGGG